TCAAATAAGTTACGCATTTGCTTTCATCTGTCCCTCTTTTTCTCAATCTGTCCTGTGAGTATCAGATTTTCCAAGCCCTCCTTCCTCCTTACGTGCACCAGAAAATTTCCACTGCATCTACCTGATGTTAAATATACGATTTCTTTTGTTCCCAGTTTTTGTTTTCCATATATTCGATCTATATTATCCGCAGCATCTTTCTATAAAACCATGTTTCTCTTGTTTCAAGTCTCTTCTTCATCTTTGAGGAAATTGTTCAGCATTCATTGCCATATAGTAAGAGGTAATGTTATTAAAATTTGTTGATAAGAGGACGGAAAGTGAGACGCCGAAATCAGAAGACGCTATGGGATAGCAAAAGATGCCCTCCCAAAACTAAGCAAAATATTAAGAAACAGGAAAATGTCGCCAGAAAACAATATTTAACAGCTGCAAAAGGACGAGCCCAAAGTGCGAACGGCAAAACGGTCGTGCCAAAATAAAACACGTGCGGAAATTTAAATAGCTGGCAAAAAAAATTAACAGAGGACGGAAAGAGCGGCAAGGCGTATGGGCACCCCGAGGCGATATGATGGTTAGCAAGCTTGTTTCACTAGAACATTTACAACTGAGTCGTGAGTTCGATCTTCACTAGGTGCCCCATACTTTCGGCATTGTGCCACATCTAAGCTACGCGTGGAAAATCACTGTCCGAAGACGTATTAGAATAGAGAAAGATGACTTCCAAATGCTAAGCAGAGTATGAGGCAAGAGAAAAAAATTCGCTAGAGCCCAAAAAAAGATTACTAAAATACTATGTGATATCTGTCCTCCTGTATGTCAGAAGAAAAAGAAACAGACAAAGAAGAAGAAGAAGAAGAAGAAGAAGAAGGAACAGAAGAAAAAAAAAGAAACAGAAGTAGAAGAAGAAGAAGGAGAAGAAGAAAAATGAAACAGAAGAAAAAAGAAAAGAAAAAAAAGAAGAAGAAGAAGAAGAAAAAGAAAAAAAAAATTTTAAAAGAAGAAGAAGAAAAAGAACGGAAAAAAGAAGAAGAAGAAAGAAAATAAGAAAAAGAAGAAAGAAAAGAAAAAAAAAAAGCAGAAGAAAAACAGAAGATCAAAATAAGAAAAAGAAACAGAGGAAAAAGAAACCGAAGAAAAAAGAAACCGAAGAAAAAAGAAACAGAAGGAGAAACATAAAAAGAACAGAAGGAAAAGGAAGAAGTATAAACAGAAGAAGAAAAGCAGAAGAACGAACGAACATAAGAAGAAGGAAAAGGAGGGGAAGAAGCAGAAGAAACAGAAGAGAAGAAGAAGAAGAAGAAACAGAAGAAGAAGAAAAGAAGAAGAAGAAGAAGAAGAAACAAAGAAGAAGAAAGAACAGAAGAAGATGAAGAAGAAAACAGAAGAAGAAGAAGAAGAAGAAGAAGAAAAGAAGAAGAAGAAAAAGAAGAAGAAGAAGAAGAAGAAACAGAAGAAGAAAAGAAGAAGAAACAGAAGAAGAAGAAGAAGAAGAAGAAACAGAAGAAGAAGAAGAAGAAGAAAGAAAAGAAGAAGAAGAAAAAAAGAAAAACAAAAGAAGAAAAGAAGAAGAAAAGAAGAAACAAAAAAAAAAAAATGGTTAAGAAGAAGAAGAAAAAAAAAAAAGAAAAAGGGACAAGAAGAAACAAGAAGATGACAAAGAAGAAGTAGGAGAAGAAGAAACAGAAAATGAAGAAGAAAAAGAAGAAGAAGAAGAAGAAGAAGAAGATTCAAAAGAAGAAGAGGAAACATGGACAAAACCTGCAGTAAAGCGATAGTTTTGTACCTAGGTCAAGATAACATGACTGAGCTCATCCCTGTTGAAGTTTCGAATATTTCTTCTTTGACACTTGTTTTTACCTCAAGGCAATAGATCCGGGTCAGTCCTGTCATTAACCCATAGCTGTGGAAGCTATAGATGGATTTATACATTTACCAACAGTCAACGTAACGTACCCGGCACATCAATTTATCTTACAGATTCTCTAAGCACTGCACCACCAGCACAACCAACCAGACAGAAGTATATGCCTGAGCATCTGTCTGTGAAAGGGATTGTTTAGCCGTTCAGGCAGACGTGTGGGTTTGGAAGCTTGTAGCCAATGGTTCTATGTGTGCTGTCACAACGACTCTAAATGTGTTTCATGGTCCGTTTTTAAATCCGTGATTGGAAGTAGTTACGATAATCCTTATTAGGTATATTATTGAGAAAAGCTTTAACAGAAATACAACGAGTGGTCCTGACAAAATAGTTTTAGCAATTACCATCGGTTCCTTCCAACAAATAGAGGAATGAATTCATTTTTAGACAGTTAAGAGGCGGGTGAGACAATGATGTGTATTCTTCCCAGATTTATTTAACCTATATTCACTGTGTTTCTCAACCTTTTTACACTTGAGTACCCTTTAAAATAAATTACATGTCTCAAGGTAGCCCTGCGCAAAAAACAAAATTATATACCATATCTTTTTAAATTTATTTTCATCGTAGTTCCCGTGGTAAATATCATAGTATATATTTTTGAATAACTGGTTTAAGGAAAAATTAATACATCTTTCTCAATTTTTTTTTTTTTTTTTTTGGTAATGCTAAATAAAATTCATACTGTTCGTTTATAAAACTTCATCAGGGAGTTTTCATTCGCACAAAAATAATTCTAAACTTTACTGACAATGTTGACATGTCATAAGGTAAATCAAGTAACACCTGTTCTCGCGGAAACCTTGAGGACCTTTTGCAAGACCTTATGGTTCCGGGGAACCCCGGTTGAGAAACGCTAATCTACAGCAACGCTATCCTAAGGGATCTGGAAACCCTACAAGGATTTATTAAAGGTGAACGTAATCATAATATAAGATACGTCGTTGATGTTTTTTTTTGCTTTTTTTTATCGACTAAGAAAGAAAGCAACCTGGCCTCCTCGACAAAGTAGCAGAAAAAAAAAGAACTATCAACTTCGAGAAGACAGAAAATATATGATCATTAGCAAGAGAAAAAGCACAAAATGCAAGTTACAAATACTTCCATGGTAACTGTTCTTATGTACATTCCTCTATTGTCGATATTCACTAAACTCACCACGAGGTCAGATGGGACACAAGGCCGAATTTAATGTGGAGTGAACAGAGTCCGTAGACTTGGGCAAAAAATTCCCCGTAGACAAGGGATGGGGTAGCTGTCTACAATCCCCAGACGAGACTCTACCCTTCGACATAGCCTCGTCTGCGTTCCTCTCTGCCAGGAAATAGAAAGTTTGACAAGCATCGTGACAGCTAGACTTTATGAATTTAAGCGCAGTACGAGATTAGTAGCGAGCTGTCATCATTTTAAAGTTGAAATGGATAGATATAACCGTAAGTTCTATGCTAACGGTTTCTTCTCTCTCACAGTATTAGATCCACGGCCTTATAGATTGGCGGCAAGGGCTCATCATTTTAAAGTTGAAATGTTTAGATATAACCGTGAGTTCTATGCTAACAGTTTCTTCTATTGCACTTCTCACTTGTGGAACTCGCTTCTTCTTTCCCAGTTAAATTTTAAAAAAATTTAAAAGGAAAGTCTCTCGTTATTTTCTGACTTTTTAATTTCTGTTCTTTTTATTGTTCTCTCTCCCTCTTTTTTTTACCTCATATTCTCTTGTACTCAGCAACACCTTACGTCTTGATGACTTTATTGCCTTGCTTGGGGTGAAATGATTAAAAAAAAAAAAGGTTCCTATTTTGGATTTGTGACAATTTGAACTGCTAGGAAAACTCGGTCTAGTTGGAAAATTATTCAAAATTATTCTAGAATTTAGACTGGGAGCAAATCGCCTGTATCCGGATATCTCGTCTGCAGTCACTTTCTCACAGACGCGCCGTCGTCTCTCTCTGTCTGTTTTACAAATACTTTCATGGCAATTGCTCCGAGGAGCTGCATTCGCTGGTTCCCAGACGTCAAGAGTTCAAGCGCCCTACGAGGCTGGCATCCCGCTCTCACGTTTTCAGTGTCGAAACTCCTAAATGTAGCCGTCTCTTCTACTCTAATAGCTTCATGTCTTGCACCTCTCGCCTGTGGAACTCTCTTCCCTATTCCTGTTTCCCTGAGAGCTATAATCTCCAGCTATTCAAATGTAATGTCAATCGACATCTCCAGTTGCCTTGATCTATCCACTACCCTTCTCTTCATCCTTTCTTCTATCACTCCTATCTGATCTTGCTCCAAATTTTATGTAACCCCTTGCGTCCTAATGGCATCTCGCCTTGTTTGGGATGAAACGCTTAAAAGAAAAAATGAATTAAGCAGCTGTACAAGAACAAAAAGGGCTGGGAGACAAGGATGTGTCTTCTCCCCAGATTTATTTAACATCTACAACGACGCTATCCCAA